TTAAACGGACACCCAAGGCAGCTAAAGTAGGAATATATTAAGGCAAAAATAATAAACAGATTTTTGCGGTGCACATTTTTCGAGGTTGCGTAGCCGGTCTTTTGTTTGAAGTATAAATATAATATAATATAATAATATATAATATATATAATATATAATCTAATATAATATACAATATATTATATATATAATATATTATATATTTTATATTATATATATTATATATATAATATATATATATAGATATATAATATATAATCTATATGATATATATAATATCTATTATATTATATATATTATATATATATTATATATTATATATATAATATATTATATATATTATATTATATATATTATATATAATAATATAATATATAATATATTTTTAAAATGTATCTAATAAAATAGTTCTTGTTCGACTGACTTCTGCGTCACCGACTGGACTAGCCCATCTTGGCACATATCTTAATAAACCTTTGATGCACGACACTATGTAATCAGATAATTCGATGTCTATCATTGCCAGGAGAACATAAAAACTAGAAAAATAATCCCATTTCTTTAATAAGCGAGACGCTGTGTACTGTAGGTGGCCTTATTCATAAAATGTCGACCGTGATTTCGAAATGCGTATTCATTTTCAAAAGATTAATTAAATAGGGTTGTAAAACTAGTCAGCCTGCAACATAATTCTCATATATGTCAGTTAACTCAGGATGCTGGCTTTCGAATGAAGTTCCGTCCGTCTTCATGCAAAAACGGCACTGTACAAATGACGGCTTAATTAACATAAATTGTTCTCGTTGATTTTTGGTTTCCTTAAAAAAATTAATGGTAGTTCATGGAAAACATGCATAAAAATATTCATTTTTTTGCTCATTAGGTAGATGATTATATTTTAATCTTATACTCGAAAGAAAGTTATAATACGGTTTTCAAAAACCTTATCAGTTCCCAAATAATTTTGAACCCGCTCTTCCGTAACACTTGAATACAGGGTTTCAAAACTACAAGCCGTGTATTTTCCGCATACGGAAAATCACACATTTCTCTACGATATTCAAAGTAGATCAAATGGGGTTCAAAAAATTTAACAGTGGATTTGATGCATATTGTTAACTTTACAAGCCATATAGGTAAATGCAGATACATAACGATTTATGATCGGTCATTTCACGGTATATAAAAGTCCCACAATTAGAAACGTTTTTAAAACCAACTTATATCCTTCCATTGGGTATAAACTTGAAAGAAGACGTAATTATCTACCAAATGAGCAAAAGCATGAATATTTTTACGCAATTTTTCTAAGAAATATAATTGGATTTTTAGGGACATCGAAAGTCAATGAGGAGAATTTATGCTACGAAAGTTATCATTTTTACGGAGTGTAGTTTTTGCATGCAACTTGAAGGAAGTTCATTCAAAAGCCGGCATCCTAAGGTAACTGAAATATTATAGAAGTACGTTGCATACTGCCTAGTTCTACAACCCTACTTAAATAATCATTTCGAAACGAAAACACATTTCGGAATTGCGGATGATATTTCGTGAGTTAGCACACATACTGTACAACTTGGATACCCAACTCATTCTCCCTTGTTCAACGACCAGAGGTAACGGTTATGACAACAAAATTTACAAATTATCCATTCAAAGAGGTATTCCCATGGGACACTTAAACTCGAAAAGAGATATTTCCATTGCTCTGGCCTTCCAGACAGTAAAGCCAACAATGTAGGGGGCAATTGTGTGTGTAGAAACATCTCCTTATACTAAAAGACGGACGAGAACAGCAAGTGAAATCATTTGCGACTGCAGTATTTTCCAAAAATCAACGTACAACCTGCGCTAAAGTAGACGTTGGTCAAACTGGGATATCCACCACCAGTAAACGTGAAGGTCACCGAGACAGCAAAGCACACCTTCAACTTCCACCAGATCACCGATTGCATGTTACATATGTGTTTGCTTGATATTTATTGTAACACAGATACCTTTGTGTAAATCTCCATTAAAGGACAGTTTTTTAGGCCACGAGCCTTGAAATTTGCCCAAAATGACTTGGTCAAAAACCTACTTACATACAATCTGCAATCTGCCAAATTAATGAAGGCTAATATTTTTTTAACTAACACGGCTTATTTGCGTTAAGAGAAAGACAATCCGCGTTTTTTAGAAGCCCAAAGAATTGGTCAGAATTAATTATAAAATGGAGGCCATTCCTGTGAATTTACTGCAGAATCAACCATAAGCAAACATCTACGAGCAATTTTTTGGTGCAGCTAGTTTCTCTGGCATATTATTTGCTTTCTGAATGCCCTGTTACACTAATTCCTTATGGAACATGACGCTTTAGGGCCGTAAATCCTTCATGCCACATTAAAATAAGTCACGCTACGCCAGAGATTAGCAACGCAGCTCTAGACTGTGAAATTGTCCCCCCCCTTTTGGCTGCCTTTGGAGCAATTTAAAATTTGCCCCAGCACGGGTAGACACGTTCTCTTTTTACTCACCACAGCGGTAAAAGCCTTTTTGACGCCTAAAACTCCGCGGCATTGGGACATGCATATTTGGATAGTTGTGTGCAGATGAGTCTGGCAGCTAAAAGGTTATGGTGCGACATGCAGCTTAACACCCGCAATCTAAACGTGCTGTTGTGTGCTTAAAGGGGTCGTCAACTGAAGTCGGTATACTCCCAGCTGTTAAGAAATGAATGCGCCCACGTGATCATACATTTGACTGCCATCCGATTAAAAGCCTTAAAAACGCCCCTGCACGTAATACTGTTAGCTAGATAAATAAGCAGTATTACTTGCAGACTCTTAATTCTAAATTTATACCTCTTATTAAGCAGTAATTAAAAACGGCGCCAGTGGAAGTAAGATCGCACTAACCAGCAAAGTAGCTATAAAAAGTGTTTATCTTGTGTATTTTCGGTAAAATTGGTAAGCGCTTTCATTTTGTGAAGAATTCACAAAGATTACGCAAAACGGTAAAAACTCGAAAACCAAATTACCTTCTCACTTTAAAAATTGCACATGGTTAAATAAATGATAAAGAGGGGTCGACTATGGGAAACAATAACTTTTTTATAGGTAAATGTTGGACTGCATACTGATGATTGCCATTGCGATTAATATAAATATGCGTTGTTTTACATGACATGGTTGTTCGTTTGCCCGCAAAACACAAATCCCTGTTTTACTGCAGTCTGCATATGTCGAAAAACAAATTTTAGAGTCAGCCCGGCATTTTAAACTGTTGAGCTACTTCACATCATCGCAGACAGATATTCTGCGTCCTCATATCTGCAAAATATTATTGGCTCACATTTAGACATTTAAAAATAAAGGTCTTCAAGGGCTAACACATTTGCAAAAACTAGGAATTGTAGAATGGTAATACCGACAAAGACGAGGGAGACTGAAATGTCCATTTCTGGTTTATCAGCCGTCATCAGCCAGTCATACCCTGTCCCGAAGTGTACAACACTTACGGTTCGAACTCGAGACCTATAAGTTAAAAGTACAACGTCTCTAATAACTGATCCACGGGCCCGTTATCTTGTCGGTTTTAATCATGAATATACTATGATAGAGGGGGTTCCCACTGATTGTTTTTAAGTAACTCACTCGACCTGTTGTGCCTTGCGGACTCTCTATCGAGGTAAACCAGTATTCGCACAGAGGCGCATGATATACGCAGAATGGGCTCGAGAGAGGTCCCGTAAGGCACCACGGGAGGAATGAGTTCCATAGAAGATCGGTGAGTGTCTCTCGACCATAATAAGAATTGTGGTGGCAAAACCTTTTAAAATTACCAAGAATACCGGAGTTGGATGCTTTTATGCCTAAGAAGTCGTCTGCTCGAAGAGCTCTTTGTGAAAACTACTACGCTCTTACTCATCGGTTTTACAGCAGCCTCGCAGCTGCACGTTCCTATATTGGATCCTTTCAATACCTTGCAAAATCTGCCGCATATTGAACGAAACCTGTAACTCTCCACAAAGAATACTTCTGTCATTGCAAGTGCCTTTATGAAGGACAGGTCTCGTTGTTTACCCCTGTGGGCATTAACATATTCTTTAAAACGTCACTAAGCATAATGAAACCATCGTTAAAGAGCATCAAACGGAATTTATTCCTCAAGAAAAAAATCCAAAATAAGTTCATTTAGGTTTTCTGACAATAAAGTCAAATAAACGACGCAAAGTGACATCGCGATGGTTTTAGGAGATTTTATTTGCTTGAGGGCATTAGCTAAGACGCTCACAGTCGACTGCAAAACCATGATAAATTTCTGATCATCTGTGTAAATGGTTACCGAAACCTAGATGGACCGTTTTGCAACATGCATTGATTTTAACAGATACCAAAGACAATTCGGATTGTTAACAGTGTTCTTAGCAGTAGTAGAAAGTGTAGAAAACTGTGTTTTTTTCTATACAGGTTGACCGTTTACGTTTCCTCAGGTAATATGTTTTCAGCCATTTCAACTTCTGCGGAAATAGCGAGTAACATTGCAACATGGTTATAATACTTTCCAGAGATTGCCTAAATACTGCGTCAGACTAACCAATGCACCATACGTAGCGTCTAGTACGACCGTCTAGAAATTGCCTGTTCCTTAATTAATTACCCAAATAAACAAAATATTCTAAAATGATTGCTCGAAAGGCGAAAAACAAATATACCAAGTAATACTTCTAGGTTAACTTTCGTCGTATGGTGTGATTGCAAAACTCCTGGAGACTATGATCAGACAGGTAAAGTACTCGCGCTGATAACCTAAAATAGTGCAGACCGTTTTAAGAGGAGTTTGCAAGCCAAATGATTGGTTGAATTCGTTAACCAACGGATGCATGAGTAAAAATCGGATTGGCTAAAAACAAGTAATCGAAAGCAGATGAGCGTGGTTTAACTGCTGATCCAAACTCCTCAAGAACATTTTCCAGTTCATGTGCATCTGGACATGCCGTATGCCAGAGAGCAGCACACATGCAATCCAGGTAACCCATAGGCTTCTTTTGAACCCCGGATCTATTTCTTTCTCACAATGGCGGAAGGTCTGTGTGTATCTTCATCTTCTAATTAAACAATACATGTTCTTTTTGCCAGAGGTCTAATGAATGGAAGGCATACCATCGCATCAAATGGATTTCAGGAAACCGATCCAGTTATACCAGCCGATAAGATGTGCACCTGTAACTGCACTTGCAGACGACGCAAGAATCATCGAAGACCGCCAGGACTGACATCTTCGAAGCCTTTTTCCCTGACTGCTGAAGATATCCAAGGTCCACCGCCCAAGGAGTTCGGTGTTCGCCCAATGGGTGGCCAGAAGTATGAAAACGACGATGGAGTTGACCAAGTTAACTATCAACCTCTCGAAAATGTGAGTCACTGAGAGCCGCGGTTGAATACATAACTAGGCAGGCCTGAAAGGGACATGTTTTTGAAAAGTACGCTATCACAGCTTAAATGAAACAACTTCAATTGATACTTGAAGCCACAAATATCATACTTTCCTCTACAGTAGTCATTTGTTAAGCAAGATCTGTAAAAACCGCAACTTCAATAGACGCAGATCCGTTGTATTTAGGATACTGATCCGTGTGTCTCGAGGTAAACTATGATTTTTTGGATCTACTAGCGCAATGCCAAAAGGCTTACTTTCGTGTGTATTTTTTTCCTTCGTACTGGTAATTAACACCTTTATGAACTGAGGAATTACGTTTTCATAGTATAATATAAAAAGTGACGAATAGCAGGTGAACACGAGCAGCAGATCTTAATCCAATTTCTAACGACTGCAACGCGTCCTTAAAACTAGGCACGAATAATATGATTCTGCTTAACAAACACCAAAGGGGATGTTCTTTAGACAAAATGTGCGCATCAATGTTGGTCTTTCAATTCAGCAAGCCGCTGTAAACAAACATTCCTGGAAAAGACTTACACAGCATAGGCAACATTTTTGAGACGCTGAGCGAAGGTTATTTGTCCAAAATTAATTCAAAATGAAGGGAGGTAAAATGTGTTGAACGGAAAACATGTAACACTTGACTGTAAATGCTGCTTTTAATTTCCTTAGAAAATGACTGCGAACTTGGAGTAGATCAGTGTACTAAAAAGATTGAACCGTGTAATATTAATAAGCTGCCGACAGACAGCTAGTAATATACTTTAGGGTTGGTTGATACCATAATAACAACGCAGAGAGTAGCCAAAAGCTCACACACGTGTGTTTCGTCGATATTCTAAAGCAGCATGACCCAGCAGCGATAAGTTCGGCTCGTCAGTTGGTCACCCAGCATTCCCTGTCTGCAATCTGGTAAATACTCCAATTAAGAAATTGTTGCTTTCTAACTTCCGTAGAAATTAACCGCGAACTTGGAGAGGATTAGTAAACTTAAGGTCTATAGAAGTGGAAGACAAATTTAAAATGTGTCTGCCGCTATGTAGTTTAATAGTTCTCGGAATGTCCTTGCCCCTTTCCATTCTCTATTTTCATTTATGTTGAATGTCTTTCAAACAGAATGCAACTGCGTCGGCAGAACAACAGGAGGAGGACGAAACACGTCGAAGAGCGGAAAACATTCTGACAGCCCTCTCCGAACTCTCGCAACTGCGGTTCCGGGGTCAGGAACTGTCAAGACTTATTGAAAGTCTGCAGGTAATACAACGGTATTTTTTTGAGAAGGTACTATGACACATTGCGGTAAACAAAATATGCCATGTTTGATTTATTCGGACAAAATGATCACGCTGTATGAGGACGGGAGAGAGACATCGCCTCATCAAGCAGACGTAATGAGACCACTCACCTACAGGCATTTCAATTATAGGACAGGATTTAAGCGGTAAACAGACTTTCGCAAATATGGAAAAGTAGCGAGGTTTATTTTGCGATACTCTGAGAGCAATTGTCCGTTAAACAGCCGGATATATGTTTCACCGCACTTCGCCAGCATTGTCGAGACAGCTGTTCCTTCTTTGTATCTGCCATATGCTGTTGTACATTGAACAACTCACAATTCACAGGGTGATTTCAAGTAAGCAGGTCGTATAAAGAAGATACCTTGTAGAGGATAAGCGTTTAACAATATGGTTACTTCATATTTTATTGTAAAGAAAGAGAACGGTTTCACGACGTACTCGTCTGCTAATCACTGTCGTTCGGGAATACGAACCTTAATGTACAGAGAACCTCCCCATCGTGAAGAGACATGTCTACATTTCTACAGGCCATCGGCATCATTATACCTAGCAAAATTGACCTCGAAGATACTCGGTTGTGAATCAGATTTGGAAAAACATTAATTTAGATTCCTGAAACATCAAGCAGACCACTGCTAAATTGCCTCTTCTAATGCGCAGTGTGCTTTAAGGCGATTTTCTGGTCTTACAAAAAGTCGTTCTTCCATACATAACAAGTACTAAGAATTCGCAGGTGAACTTAGATCTAAACAGAGTGGTTTTTAGACTGGTGGAAAACTAGAAGGAATTGCTGAACTAAAAGTACATACAGATCTCTGATCGTAAAATTGAGTTCTTCAAGTAGCTTGCGGCTACTTTATCGGTGTAACTGTGTGAGTTTTCTTGGTCGGCATTTCTGCAAATAGTGGTTAATGTGCTCAATTACCCGTCTTATTCGGCATAAGCGCGACTGTGACGATCCCACTGTTTGACTTATTTTGACGATTTTAAAGCTAAGAGTGCCTAACTGTTAACCAAATGCCGCGTCTGACGACTATATCTCTAGAATATGCGGCCCATCTGCTTACTTCTTAAGTCTACTGTCAACATACTCTCGACATCTAAAAGGCGATTTTATTATAAATGTTTGCGTTATGTCACATACGTTTCCGACTTCTGCCTATGTAGCATTCATCGGGTTTGCTAAAAGCCCTTCAGTCACTGCCGTTTTATTGCATCTCTTAGTATAAGATAGGAATGTTCATTGTAAGATGCCGCAACGATAAATCTTACTATATTTTCGAAAAGAAAGTCGAAGTTACAACTTCTGACTCGTTTAGTTATTAGCAACTAATCACACACCCATGACAGTGTCGAGGTAGCTTCATATTCAAATGACTTTAAATGCTCCTGACGGAGATTGCCAGGAGATAAACTATGCTTCTATTGATAGATTCTTGATTAGAGGCCCGACAGCTATGTGATCAAGATTAGCATATGACTTGTTAAAGATAATCACATAGGTCACAAGCTATTATCCAAGTTTTTGTATCCCACGGGCATTTCTTTTGCAGCACTGGTTTCTTTATTCTGCCTGGACATCTGCGAGCATTTTATGAGGGAATAAGCTTGATCCTCCGGCACCTTCTTCATACAACTGCCCACGTTTGGATCGATTAATTGGCTGCTGTATCCTTTGAACGTAGAAATAATCTACAAGCCATGAGGAAATACACCCTGCCATTGAGTACATTCTGGAAAATTTACCTGCGCCATTAACGGACATGGCTACGTAGGCAAGGCCGATTAGTGTCTTTAAACCGGCAATAATTGTCTACCGAAAAGGACATATCGACGGCATTATAGTCTGTTGTACGAGTTAAGCAGAAAACTGCGTCCTGTGTGCTGGCACTGCATCCGGCGAATTGATCCTTTTGTACCGAACGACTGACGCAATACACTAATACTCATATAGACCTCCAAGTACTAGCCTATAACATGGTACGACTGATAACCTTCACGTGATCCGCGTTTGCATTGGGCTGCCATTCAGCCAAAAACCCCGACGATGCAGCGAAAAAGAGTCAGGTAACAATGTGTTACACATGCAGCCGTTCTAGAATGAGGACGGTGTCGGTCGATGGGGTTATCAAGTTAAAATACCAGAATGGATTGTCTGATCATACGAGGTGGTAAACTTCATGCTACCCGCGATCTACACAGCAATTTTCATCCTGAATGCGCATGCTAAAAGTGAATAAAAACGTAGGAGTTTCGAATTGTCATGTATAGTAAAGTGCTCAGTGCGGCACTTACAAGATGCGTGTTTCTCACGGAACTTGGTTATCTTGTCAGACCGCTTTTAAAAGTGACGACATGGTCACAAGATTTTCAAAAACTGTAGGTAAAGTTAGGGTGTGTTGCTCCCTTGGGCAGTTTTTCAAAAATGTGTATTCTAATCTCGGCAGATCTGGTTCGGTCCAAAGGCAAAACGGGTCGAGTGAGTCCCGTAGTGCGGTCGGCAAGCGCCCCTTACCATTGTACATACCCGATCGCAACCAACAGTATAACGAGCTCATGGCTCAGTGGCCAGTACGCTGGACTTCTAACCAACAGGTCGCCGAATAAAGCCCCAGAAATTGTAAACCCCGGGGTTACGTATGCCTGGATGACGACAACGAATAAATTGCAAATGGCAATTCCAGTCCCCACTAGCTTTTTTGGCAAGGCTGCTCTGCGGTTTAAAATGATTCGTCTGACAAATTCGTCAATAAGTCACTCGTTACGCGGAGGTTGATTTTAACTAGCGTTATTGACGTCAAAGTTGTCCGGATCGGGATCAGGAATACGGTTGGATTTGGGGTAAGATTAAGGAGCTGAGTTATTCCTACGGCCGAGGCTGTCAAGCCTGGTATATAGTCTGCATTTGCGGTTGAGGCTAGAGCTGGGATTTAGAAATGGGGTTTAAGGCTTTGGACTAGCGATAAACGGACCCAGGGTTTGGATTGCGCTTAGGATTGGGTTTTCGCTAAATGCTTATGGGTTGAGGGTCATGGTTGTCGTCAGGGTGTTAGTTAACCACGGTTTTCCCAGGAGTTTACCTACTGCACTCCTGCCCACTGTTGCAATTGTTCTTTTTAAGGAATCAAAGATTAACCTGCAAGAAAGACTCTCTTCGAGCTTTCAGAAAACAGCCAAATTCCAAATTGCCGGCGCCTACCGACAGCAGCCATTGCAGTTTCACCAGCTGGATTCAACACGAACTCAACGGTCCGAAATGTCACCGACAGCACCACCGACATCTCCTTCCGCGGCATCAGCGTCCGGCAAACAGCCAACCTATTCGCCACGTCTCCAAAACGCGATCAGACAGCCGGCAGGAATCTGTCCTGCCACTGGAAGCCTCAAACCCGAGTCCCCGGTGCCAGGCCTTATGGAGTCGCCGAGACTGCCTAATTTCGGCTCAGTGAGTATCCGCGAGCGCAAGGCGAGTCTATCGGAGAAGCGACAAAATCTCATTTCTGACGCCTTTATTGGTCGCATTCGGGAACGTATTCGTGAGCGACGGCAACATCAGGGCAAGGATCAGTGCCCAGATGTTGAGATGACGGCTGGGCGGTCAGTCATGCAAACACTGCACGCAAGTCCACGAGCCACGGACCTGGTGCAGGACGCTTTGATCTCCGCGCCGCAGGGAGATAAGGGCTTGCCCTACCATCGACGATTTTCTTTGGTGGGAAACAACCCTCAGGCTGTAAGCAACACTGATGTATATACATATGTGTGTGCATTTGTCCCGTACTGTGTCCCCTTGTTTTTACTTCGCCGCTAATATGTCTATTATAGCCTTTTGTCAGTTAATTGCAGATCTCTGAGCCGTTGTTCATGTGAGGACTTAATAATATAATTTTTAATTTTAAGATTTTTCTCAAAGCACACGTTTGTGTAGTAATAAGTAATGTTTTCAACAGTGCATATTAAGCAGCATTTTTTATACATGAAGCTAACAGCTGATGACGCTTTGAGTGGGTTTTGCCCGAAACTAAATAACCGACGCCTAGACTGTTTGGGATTTTACTAACTTCCATTTTGATTAAAATATCAACGTAGAAAAAACTTTTACGATAAGAAAGCAGAATTAAACACAATTAGGTAAAAAATTACCAAAACAGACCTCTCCAAAAGCCCTTTTGCGACCATACAGTAAATGTTCAACAGAAAAACAGCACTTTATACCAACACTATTTTTAAACGTTAACGCCGTGCGATAATGTGCACCTGTTCTAGGCCAAAACCGGCAGCGAAAATAGATCTCTGTACGCCACTGCTCTGTTTTTCAGAACACTACCGATCGTACCTGACACATTGGAAGGGGGGGGGGGAAAGGGAGGGGGCAAGCGTTGCTCACAGGGGAAAATTCTCTTTTTAATTTGGATTTGAGTTATGGCACTGCCAGTGGACATCAACTTAGAAATAGCCAGTTTAACCTCTCTGCTGTTTGCCAACCATGATTCTCGGCAATTAAAAATATTTACGGATAGAGTTTTGAAGATCGTACGGCATGGAGCCATTTGATCGCCTGTAGCGTATCCTGGACAAATATGATATTCGCAACATAGTTGTTACTAGTCGTGTCTCGTTTAACTTTGCAAAATTAATGTTCTGCTCACGCGATGGGAGGGGCGGACTCTGTTATTCAGCCTTGCTCTCGTTCGAGAAAAGTCCTACACAAGTTAAGGGTAGAGTTAAATTTTTTCCTCTTATTTCGCCCAATCATTTGAGGATATGGTGGTTGGCGTGCACTGCAGCAGATCAAATCCTGCGTGTTAAACATTTACGGAAGACAGTGAATGTTAGCTAAAAATGCTTCGCCTCTACTGACTTTCCCTTCCCGTCAATCGCAGCCCAACTCGGAAGTCTCCTCGAAGTTTACAACAGAAACTTGCGACAGTGTTTCAAGCTCGATAAAGTATTTGGTTAATAAGAATAGATAAGCTATGTGATAGAAATTGTGCAGCATATATGATTTGGTACAGGGTGTTTTCAAAGCAGTATATTTATCTAAATATTATTATGCCGTATCGTAGTACTGATATTAGTGTAGCAAAACTGAACGGCTTCACGAGGTTGGCTATCGAATGCGCGTTTTTCTAACCACCTCAATAATCATTTGCGGTTAAAAACGAATAGTTGTAAAGCATGAGTTTCGCATTACTTTTGGTGCCATTACAAATTTGACTATACTTGAGAGAAAGTAAGCACAAAATATCATGCATGACTGTCCTGCAAGTCTTGGGTTATCAAAAGGGCATATTTTATTTTAAAAGGTTTGCCATTACGATATTTGTAAGATAATCTATTACGAAAGCATTACGTTTTGCACAGCTTGATGTTAACATTGAAACACATAACATGATTATATCGGCATTAAAGTTTATGGGGATAAGATGACAACTGTTTAACAGAATAGAGGTATATGCAAGTTTTTTAATGGAAAATGTACGGCTCGTTACCCGAAAACACTAGACATTGGTGCACCCTATAGGTGAAATTCAAAATTATCCGAAACTTTATAGAGAATTGGCGAAGTTTGTTCCTGCAACCCAATTTGATTGATGTCATGTAGTTAGCTAACTAAAACAAATTTAGTGGGTGTGATTACGCTAATTTTAACTGTACCACGTGTTTTCGCCTTATTTACTACTTTACTCCAGAAATTGACTATGTCTGGGAAGGTCTCATATGCAAGCCAAGGTTACATCAATTATCAGTCTATGCGCTTGCTTCAAGACCCGCTTGCGCCCTTTTTATTTTCTTTGTCCAGCGAGCGGCTAAGTAGACTTGCTAGGATTATTGATCGGACAGTGTGAAACTCCGCCAGTTCCACCACAGTGGCCATGCACTGCGAACTGACACGCGGTCCCCTCCGTAGCTTTAAAGGTATGATTACGCCTTTTCTATCTTCTTAATCCAGCGAGTGGCTGTGCCGAGGGAAAAGTGTGTACACTCCACCAAGCATCGGTTCACACGCACCTCTGCGCGTGTTTCCAGCTCTGTTTGCGCTTTCTTATGCTTCCTTATCCAGCGAGTGACTAAGTCACACATGTTAGTTAAAACCGTTTTAGTTAGCTAGCCATATAACAACAATCGAATGGGGCTGTAGGAACAAATATCGCCAACATTTTAAAAATGCAAAAAACCCCTTCCTTAGTAAAGTTTAAACCAGGAGCAATTTGCAGCGAGATGTTAGGAAAAAGAACACTGCACATGTTTCCTGCAGCATATGTTTTCATTTATTAGAGTTTCGGCTCAAATACGTTGTCAAAGGCAGCCTTTAATATAGTCAATTTAAAAAACAGCAGTTTTTAGTTACACGGGAGTCGTTCTGTTGCACTTAGGGCTAAGTTACCGAGCAGAAGTTTTACAATGCACTTTGTCAATTTCATACTCCTGCTTTGCGTCGTTTTGACTAACACGGGTACTTTAGTTCTCCAAAAATCGTTTTTGACATAAAACCTGCCAGGTTGTCCGATTTTATACATGCGAAGCTCTCCGCGTTATGGGATAGCGAAGTGGTCAGCAGGAAAATGGAAGCCCGTACAACATTAGCTAGCATTACGCAGATATCGAGATAGCTTCGAATTTATCGACGACATCAAACTCCGTTACCATAACGGCACGGTGATGTTCTTGCAGACGTCTCGTCGCTTTTTACAGACGTCCCTTTCGGGCAGTTAAATAGATCTGATAATTTCTTTCAACCAGTCAGCAGAAAATTGTAGTTCCGACGAAAACGCTTAACGAATTGTTACTAAGATGCACATTAAATGAAATATTTCTTTTTAAAAGCTAACTCTATAGGCACAAAGACAGCGTTGCTATCGGCTCGTCTCCTAGACTCTTTTAGCCAATGTCATTATGTTGACACTAAAGAGATCTCAACTAAGCGATCAGATTGAAATGCTTAAAAATTGCAGTCGCTACGTTGATGATGTGCTTGCATTTTCACCGCAGAATCCGCCGTAGTTGCCCTCTCAAATGCGTCCATCAGATTTACGTTGGAGATAGAAACGGATGGTTTGCCTCCCTTCCTAGATGCCTTCCTAGACAGAAAACTTGACCGTGGAGTCCGAAAGAACGCCTAACGGAAAAACCCAGTCTAAACAATAGGCGAACTTCGCCAGTTTCGTGCCCCTCCAGCTAAAACGAAATCTAGTCCACTGTTTGAAACAAATGGCAAGAGACTTTATCTGACACATAGGAAAGACTTAGAAAAAACCGCGACATGCTTCGCGAAAAAGGGGATCCCGACAGGTTTATTGAAAAGAACGCTGCCAAACAACCCGCAAAACTCACCACACTTATCATCGAAAGGAAAACTTTGTTCCACAAAATCCCTTTTCAAGGAGATTTTACGAGTGAACTCCTAAGAAGACGCCTTCATTAAGCTGTCTTGCGAACCCTTTCAGCAACAAGGGTTTGAATAATGTTGCCTACTAACTCCTTTTCACACGTATAAGGTAAGGATAGATTGCCTTATCAGATCACCTCATATACTCGTTTACTTGCTCTTGTTGAGCAGATTATGTATGTCGTACGAGGTGGTGTATATCCAAAGAACACGAGACCATCTCCCGGCATGCTGCGAAAAGGCAAAACTAGGAGCATATGTGCATGCTGATGATTTCGGACATCGTGTGGTCCCAGTGAAGCGTTTTATGTAATTTATAGCTACCCTAAGCTATTGGGTCAACGCTTGTTGGCAACAGTAGAAGCGTCCACAATCAGTAAAACCGACCCCATGTGCCCAAAAGAACCTCGTTTGGGCTCCGCGCTTACCTTGGTCAAAGGCTGACTAACCACATGCAACTTTCCGAGGCCTTGCACTCTCGTCATCTGTGTTTTAACAAAACCAAGTTATTATCGATTTTTTAATCACAGACATGTTTAACTGCACTCCACTCCCGTGTAATCGTTATGGTCCGGTAGGAATCTATCAAAGGCAAACGAGTTTCGGCCATCCCTTCTTCTGAGTATATTATTATCCTCCGCACGGGATATTACAGCCCACAAATTTAAATGCAATAAATAATCTAACGCAAGCGATGTGAAATGAGATAACTACCTGGTCATTGTGCGGAATCATAGGCATTAAGCCCTTTTAAAATTAGCTCGAAGCTAGCTTAAAAATTCTTTGTCAGGTATAATATGCCTCTGGGTTTTAGGACAAAAATAAATGGCACTCTGTGTCAGCGTAATTTCCTTTGCTTATAAATTTCGCCGATCATATTTGTTAATTTTATCGTCCTTAATGCTCGGAGGTGCTTATTTTGACGTCAATTTGTTTATTCTGCCTTTTTTAGTAAATGAAAGGTGTTTTGCTCGCTGGAAATTCGTATTTTTAAATCAAGGCAGTTGTATGCCCTTGGTAGTCGTACTCACTTCTACAGGTATATTTTGTTCTAATGCATTTGCAAGTCATAGGTAGATACTAATTTTTTCCAAAAGGTCACAAAAAGACTCGCCATTAGGCAGCTATTTTAAATTGCATCCTGAATGCGAAATGCCTCCTGTGCGGTCTGAATTCTTAAAATACGTAATGCAAAAATAAAAGGGACACAGTCTTACCCGTTTAAAAATTATTTTTATATTTAAATGACCACATAGGAATGCATATACAATCATAGAACAAAACCACAAAGTAAGTAAAGTGGACGTAACTAGTCCTTAAACAAAAGGAGAAATGCTTTTTCGTCATAATTGGGAAATTTATTCGTAGTCACTTAGAAAATTGAGATTAAGCAAAATTTGCAATTTTGTGTTGAACTTTCTTTGGAAAATATAACAAGGAACACGCACTGTCAGACTACCTTAGAAAAGCTTTCTTTTAAATTTAACTCATTGGAAAGGTTTTTGAGGGTCTGCTTATCATATGTCATGGTCATGAAAGTTTACAATTGGCGTTTAGGTTTCATTTTTAGGAGGTCTAAAAATATGATGCAGCTTGCCAACAGAATTTGAGGACAAATAAGACGCCATTTTTAAGTAAAGCTTTAGTGCATGGTTTTTGTAAGGATTTAAACAGACACAGAGTACAGAACGTGGTTTTTGGGATACCAATAGAGAACGCGTAAAAAGTAAGTCATTTAATGACAGTTCAAGGGCATCCTGAAACCTAGCGTTTCGGTCATAAAATACTTGGCAGTGCCGCTTAAAAATTTCACTTGGTACACGGAATACAATACGTGCAAGCGCTCTCTTTTCTTAGTTTCCAACCAGTCTCTCAACACGCGACTTTGCCAAATCTTTTACCCCAACCGTGTTTTCATTCATGGTTTCCAACAGAAACCGCTGATTTTAGTCAACCAGCTAACCGATGTACACCAGAAGATTTAAAGCCGTTGACTTAGCGTCATAATTCATCTTAAACTAGTTCTAGAAGACATTTGTCCTGACTATCATAAAAATACTTTATTTATTTAGATATTTGCACGAGTGGATTCTATTATCTTTTATAAATTTGGAATAAATTTACGCATTTTCAACATTTAAAATGCTTTACAAATTGTTATGTGCAACCAAAATACTATTGTTTTTAGGACATGTTTCGCATTTTCGTCTGTCCTACGATCAGTCAAAAGCAATGGATACTTTAATTGGATCGATTTTTGTCAGTTTCCGAGTGGTTGCAGATTTTACGCAAATTTATACATATTTAATGGTCCGCTTCGTCCATTGCGAACAAAGCATACCAAAGACGATGACCATGTTTAATTATAAATTAGCATCCATTAATGATTCTGCAATAACTCTGCCACAACTCTGCACGCATCTTATTAAAAGGACCGACAGCGAGTGACTGATCTTATAAAAGTTTGAAATGCGTTTTCAGTTAGGAAGGATTACTCAGGTGGGTTGTTGCAGTAATTATCTTGCAGCATAATTCTGTAATAAATTTGACTTGTCGGTCTTAAACTGCTTTTCTTTCTGACCTTCCGTAGAAATCGTACTTGGTAAAAAATGACCTTATATTTAGCATGCATTCTTCACCTCGAATTTAACTGGTCCCACCAAAATGTATCTTATAGGAAGCATGCTCAAAATAGGCCTTTTTAATTTGTTTGGAAGAAAACCATGTCTTTACATTTTATGCTTAAAGAAAGGATATTCTTTGGTTTTGATGATGTACGCATTATGAGATCTTTTAATGCTTTGCAGTGTCCGCTCCTGGCGCATCGTGTTTGTCTGTTTTTCATTGCTCCTCATGAAATGTACAACATAGTCCGCATCCATCGGAAAATTGTATAGATTCTATATGGTATCTTTTTAAAGCCATGGAAGTATATATAGGTTTCCTTACGCTGAACGCATGCACGTTGTAAACTGTAATCACTAAGCGCTAATGCAACAACTAATCAGGCTCCAAATTATTAAGAAATAAGAAAGCTCTTTAAAACATAGCTACACTTCTTTTTCGGGTATAAAAGAAAAAAGGTGATTCTATATCAAACGACTGAAGTAAAGCATGTTTTTGCTCGTGGTTTCTATAAAATATATTCGAATTTACAAGGTTATTGAAAATCAATGAGCAAAATGTATGGTACTAAAGTGGTCATTTTTTATCGAGAGCGGTTTCTAAAGGAGATTAAACATCAGTGTATTCAGTGTATCTAAATGCATGGCAGACTTTTATAAACTATATATGGTATCTTTTTAAAGATTTAGAGGAATCTATGATATTCATTACGCGGAATGCATGCAACTTGTAGAGTGAAATTCCTGAAGGCTTTTGTGAAGGTCTATCGGGCTCGAAATTTATGAAAACTGATAAACCCTTAAAAAACATAACTATACCCTTTCTTGGAATACAGCTGGTAACGGCAGCGTGATGTTTCACCATACAAATGAAAAAAGGCTTATTTATGTGCATGATTTCTATAAAATACGTTAGCATATAGGGGACCATTGAAAATCGGTGTGAAAAATGTATACCATATAAGTAGTCATTTTTTGCCGAGTGCGGTTCCTAAAAAAGGCCAAAAAAGCATATTCAAAAGCCGATACCCTGACGTGCCAAAATCATTATTGAATTATGCCCCATAATGACCAGTAATCTAACCCCATCTAAGTGGTGATTCCAAATCGAAGACGCATTTCGGAATTTCCTCAAATACTTCATATGATCGGTCACTCTATGTAATTCTAGTAATTGTTCGAATGCAGCACCCTTTATCACTCTGCTTACTCGGACGACGGTTTTGTTGCAGAATGCCTTTATTACGTAGCCGTCATTAAAAAATTCAAGGAAGATAATACTTCACGGAAATTCCTATTTGTGATAGATAACAACTTATGAAATGTTTTAACAAACTCGACTGATTCACTAAACTTATTTATGACATGCGTAGCGACGTCGGCAAAAATTAAATCTAAGGCAGGAAGGTTAAAACTTGAGTACAGCCAGCGCTTAAATTTCCTCTGTAACGCAGACGTCATCAAAAACTTTAAAGACAAAATTTCACGAGAGTTCCCTGCTTTTGTGGGACGCATTTGTGACAGATAACAAATTATGTATTGTTTAAGCAAACTCGACTAATTCATTAGACTTATTTATGAAAAGCAAACAGACCCCGGTAAACGTTACATCCGAAACATGAAGGTCGCAGCTTGAGTACGACCAACTCGACAGATTCGAGTAAATCCATTCAAACCGATTGCGAAAAATGCCGTGTTTGATTGAATTCAGACGCATGACAGAGCAAGACTTTATTTTCTATCTCAACGAGGCCACCACGTTATTTACAATGAATTCTCTGAATTAACGCCTAACAGGGTCTGCAGAATAACCAATGCATTGTATGAACTGGGAAAAGTAAAGTACCATTTACGGTAGGTGTGTAAACGCATGAAATGCTAGCCGAAATTCTGAAATGCATTTTAAACTCAAAATGATTGCTCACGTAATGCTGTAATCTTAATTGCCATGCAGTATAAACTTTGAACAAGAGTCTTTATAGCGGTTTGCAAACGCTACACTCTCTAAAAAATGACTACCTATGTGATATGCAGTTTTATCACAGATTTTTGATTACCTTAAACATTCAAATCCATTGCATCAAAAACATGCATAAGAAATAATTATTTTACTCACTTTGTAAAGCATAACCTATTTTGCAAATTTCGTACTTGATGAAAGGGTATAATTCGGTTTAAAAAGAAGTTCCTAGTTATGAGATTCTGTGAGATTCTTAGATGAAATGTGTCTCTGCAATTACTACTTTTGATTGTAAAGTCCACGGTAAAGCTCATATCCACTGATAAATTTTTATGAATCGCATATAGTCGGCTATCAATAGCATATAAAAAAACGTTTTTTCCTACACGGAAAAAACGCGGCCTGTCTTTTGGAAATTCTAAATGCAAGTGCGACGACACGTTCAGTTCATAAACTGTTCAGTGATGAGACTTGTTTTTAAGGTCAAACTAGAATTCATCTGGAAGAACGGAATTTGAAAAAACGTAATTGTCACCAAATGGTTAAAAGAAGAAATGTTTTGTGAATGTCTCATATGGAATAGATTTGAATTTTAAAGGCCATCAAAAATCCATGAGACAAAGGCGTACTATCTAAGTAGTCATTTGGTGCAGAACGTAGTTTTACAGGCCACTGCAAAATAGCTTAGTTAAATGCTGGCATTTTGAAGTAACGGAAAAATCTTTGGGTTCTGCAGCAGTTTGATTAAAAATAACACCCTACTTAAGCAATCTTTTCGAGTCGAAAGCACATTTCAGAATTTTGGCTAGCCCCTTATGAATTAACACCTCCACCGTATTTGCGGTGTTATGAATCAGGGCTTTTATGTTAATGCACATAGGTGAAATCGCCGAAAGAAATGTTTTCTCGTCACTGATGACTGTTATTGCGGTACTTTTCGTACATACAGGATTGGTCCGTTCTCTTCAGCAGCTGCTTCAAGATCTCCAAATTCTAATTCCGCGCTTTTAATTGAAGTGAACTTTTCGCATATTGATTTCAGCTAGTCCACGGGCACAAAGTCTGTAGAATTGTTAATAGAGAAAAATCTCTCAATAAGTTGGTGTCTCAACATAATATGCTATTCAGGATTTGGTGGTCCAGTATAGGGGCTTTTAAATTATATTAAAAGGGTCGTACATACCCATGCATCATCCCAAAAACGTGTTCAAACCTGGCATGCCACAGTCGAATGCAAGAGTGTAGTTTCTGACGAGCAGAGTAGCTGCGCAGCGGTCTTGCGGAAAACTGCGTCACCTAGCTTAGGACTTGTCAATATTTTTTCTAGTAAATGTTGCCTTTTAGAACGTTACGCTTATCCATATGTCCCTCGCAATTATACGGAAAGTCATTTTCATGCTTTAATCTTTTATTTAACGTTTCCAACAATGTTTTAGTACGTCTCATAATATATGCGAAAGTGCTTCCGGGGAAGCACGCCTGAGTGAGTCTTTGCGGTCTACTGAGCAGGAATTACGTCTTTATGTCATCCTAGCAGTCAGTAAGTTAAATCGCACATAAAGAAAATCATAATGTAAAAGGTCACTAATACTGCGTTCCCAAAATTCCATGCCTAACAGTCTACCATACTTGACCGGCATCACAACTCTGGCAATTTTACTAGATTTGAATCAGAATTGCCTTTTACTCTAGATAGATTGACTTAAAAAAGTTTTTTTCTTTTCGGAAAGCGTATTCTGGGTGTTTTTTTACTATAATGTACATACATGTTTGTGAATGACATAGACCTGACAAAGACAAGGAGACCGGGATGGCCCTTTTTGGGTTATGAGCCGTCATCAGCCAGCCATACCCCACCCCAAGCGTGGATCACTTAGGATTCGAGGACTGACATTCTACCATTGAGCCACGGGCCCGTTGTCCTGTCATTGTGATCGGGAATATAAATCACAACATATGGGCACTCACCGATCAGGTTACGGAACGTGCTTGTCACGATTAATATTCCCGATCACAACTGACAGGACAACAGTATTGTGATCAATTATTATGCAACAAAGAATACGACTGGCAGATTACTCTGGTCATATTCCCAAAATCATGTCGGACTACTTATGTCACATCAAATTACCGCCTTTTTTCAACATAAGCCCTGTTTTTTTAGAGATTACCGTCGGTTTGAACAAAACATAGTGTACTCTTATATTTTTACGCCAATTTACTAAGTTTTGCATTGCAAAATAGGGTTTAATGTCAGCTGCTAGAAATGTCCCTGAGATCCATCTCCTCAGATTTTGCAGAAACCCTGATCAGCCTGTTTCATATCCAACTTAGCAAGCTGATCTAAGTAGTTATGTAAGATTTAGGCGCGAAACAGACGCATATGTTTGCAAAAACAGGGCTAACATGTGTCATACTGCTCGTTGGCCGCAGAATTTACAACATGGTACTGTCTTACATAGCCTTTAGATTTTTTTAATGGATCAAACTCTATCGACTGGCAGCGTTTGCTTCTTTCAAGATACGTCAGTTTCTTATGCTCTCTCCAAAACCTGTGTTTGGAATCGGGTCGCATAGTAGTTAACACGGCAAAGGTTTCAACGTTATCTTAGAAAATATGTCCCAACTTGCGAAATACCTCTCTCTTTACCCACGCTGCCCATATAAATGGGATAGAGCACCCTATCGATAATGAATGACCGAAAGTAACGTGGAAACATGTAACAAATAGTTAAATTTATACGACTCTCCTTAAAAATAACAATTATTTTAGGACAAGCGAAATTCTCAATACGTCAAAATGTTTTGTTTTTGTAAATAACTAACAGCTAAAACGGCACAAGTAGCGCAACGTACAGTAGGTGTGCTAAGTCATGAAATGTCAGCCAAAATTTCGAAATGCGTTCCGTTTCGGAAAGATTTATTAAAAAGGGTTGCAAAACTAATATTCCTGTAGCATTATTCCACAATAATTCAGTTACCTCAGGGTACCTGTTTTCGAACCAACTTCCTTTGGGCTTCACGCAGAATCCAAACTCTGTAAAAATGGCTGCTTAAGTGGTATGAATTGTTCTCACCGGTTTCGATGTCATTAGAAATTCAAGCATATTTCATGGAAAGCATCAATAAAAATATTCATTTGTTATTCATTCGGCAAATGATGACGTCTACGTCTAATATTCTGCATCAAGGGAGGGCATGATTCGACTTACAAATGTTTTTAAATTCTCGAAAAACTTTGAACCCGACCTGTCGTTACACTTGCGTTCAGGGTTTAAAAACGACAAGCCGTATATTTTCAACGCATTTAAAACCATACATTTCTTCACAGTATTAAAAGAAGACCTAATGGGGTTAATGAATTTTAGCAGTGAATTTAATCCATATTGTTAACTTAACAAGCTACATTGGTTAATGCAAAGACATGACGTTTTATGAAGGGCAATTCACGGTACTAAAAATCCCACAATTATAAACTTTTTTTAAAGACCAAATTATGTCTTTCCTTCGAGTATAAACTTGGAAGAGGATGTGATTGTCTACTGAATGGTTAAGAAGATGAATATTTGTATTCACGCTTTCCATGAAATATAAGTGCATTTCTAATGGCACCGAAAATCAATGAGAAAAATTCATACCACTTAAGCAGGCATTTTTACAGAGTTTGGAATCTGCATGAAGCCCTAAGGACGTTTGTTCAAAAGCGGGCATTCTGGGTTAACAGCATTATTATAGAATTACGCTGCATGATGATTAATTTTGCAACCCTTCTTAATTAATCTTTTTGGAAGGTAAGCCCACTTCGGAATTTCGGTTTACATTTCATGAGTTAAATCACCTACTGCATGTTCATGGTCAATCGATGTTTGCGCTGTAACATCCTCTGGGAATTATTGTCATATCGCGTGCAACGGTAGGCCAAAGGCCTACAGTTTAAGTCGTATGGATTTAAAAAACGGTTTCATAAGAATTCACCGTAATTTTTTCGTGCTGCTTTTATTGGCTGAGGTGCGGTCGACTAAAAAGAAAGAGGTTTGTTTTTAATTTCGCCGAGTGGGACGATAAAAACATAAACATTTGTATAATGTTACATGTTGGGAGCCTACGCAAGTTAAAAAGAATCAGCCATTGCGATACCAAACAGAATTTTAAATATATTAAGAAGACGTTCTTATATTAAGAGTATTTAGTAACTTTTAGTGACCGCGTTGGTCACAAAGTACTAATTTATTTGGAAAATCGGTGGTCTTTGCGATTTTAAGCATTCATAATCGAGCGCTTATGATCAGGATTGGGATGGCTTAGCTTTATTGAAAGTCAGCGTGAGTTTAAGGTTTAGGGTTAGGGCTAAAATTAAGAGACGAGAATAGGAACACCCAGCGCGAGGGGTCTCACGCCTCCGAGTCCGACCACATGTTATCATTTCGAGACTTTTTGCAGTGCTGCATTCACATACACTTGCAAGTTTGTTTGGCTGGCATTTGGGTGGGTAATCTTGCAAAATTAGACAGACTCCGGATTTGGTATTCATGCTTACAGATTAAAGCAAAATGTTTGAAATCAAACTACTGTCATCCTACAGCTCCTCAGTCAGTTATTGGGTATTTTTTTACGCAAATGTTCGTTTGGAGCATACTTGAAGATTCAAGCACACATACAGTCTTATTGCTGGTAAGAAGAGGCGTCTGCAGCGACAGTGTGCAATGAATACGCTCCAGATAATTGGAGAACTTTCGCCCATCCGTCATCTTTTTCTAAAATCTTCTTAATAAGCTCATTTTGCGATCATTCTGAACCACAAATGCAACCGTCCTATAGCTTAAAGAAAAAGTTACGTTAGACCCATTTAATAACGTCCCTCCCATTACCGCTACAAGTCTGATCTGCCTAGAAAATTAGCTATTTGATTTCGCAAAGTCTTCACCTATTTCTGCCATAACGTCCGTCACCTGATGAGCGCATTTCACTGTCATGCACTTTACCTCTTCCTGAGGTAAAGTAAAGAAAGATAATAACCTTTGACCGACCTTACAGTCCCCTATAAGATGCTGATAATCTGTCTGCCTTAAAAAATGCCCACCTTTCTCTTTTTAAGAGAGCCACTGTCGGTTTTTTTGTTTGCTTCAAGACACTGTACCACGATTGCTAATGCGCAACAAAATGGCCCTATAAATACAAAGGTACCATTGCACTGCACTGCAAATTTCGTTTCTAAATTACCTTTTCGTAGAAAATAAATCATACGAAAGTACCATGACACATGGTCACAAGTTACAATGGCATCACGTACTAGTGGAAATATTGGTACTTTTAAACTCAGAACTGCCTGCAAGCGTAATTATTGGTCTTAGAGTATAAAATTAGATAAATTGACAAATTGGACTATTCGGAACCAACAATACTTCCGGTTTGGCAAGGTTACCTGCTCGTAAAAGTCCTGCTTTTCCTGCCTTGCGTAGAACAAAAAAGTCAAATTTAAATTGCGGCTATTTTAGATTACAAAATTGTCATAGAAAAGCACGCACAAATATGGAAAAAATATCTTGACAATGTATTGATATTTAATTTAGCCCACGTTTATAAATATTTCACTTAATTATTTACCCAGAAAAATATGTTACTGTAAAAGGAGCGTTTTCCGGAATGAGTTGGATGAATGAGTAAAATGCACAACGTTTAAGTGCCTTAACATGACCAGTTCAGTTTACATCATCACATTTCGCGAATTAGGTCACATACTGTAGACACACGCCTTCTTCAGCGTAAAACAAGTCAATTCAATCACCACGAACGACAATTTATATTGTGTGCCTCACAGCCTTGCATAGCATCTTTCGCACCCTTCCACCCTGACATTTTAACCGTTGGTACCGACGAGGTTCACAATATGATTAACAGGGATTTTGGTGCAGAACAATGATATGTATGTGAATGAGCAGATCCGCGCTGCGTCTATCGCACTCCATCCCCTCGTGGGCTAAATGGACTATGGGCGCTTTCGGTCATAGCGGTCATGCGTGAGAAACATGCCTGAATCTCCCTAGATAGGTCTCTTTCTCTCAAAAGCGATAAGAACGGAGAGAGGAGTTCGCTTTATTTTGAAATCATAAATTCAAAATTTTTAGCTCGAATGTCATCAGCGTGAGAAAATAAACTTGTTTTGCCATTCTCGAACACCAAAAATGATGTTAGCAAACTCTTTACCCAAGGTATTTGTCTCTTCTCTACACCACCGTTTTCCTGTGCTACTATAACGGTTTAAGGTTCCACTCCGAGATTTTTGGCGAAGTGTTTGACCAAAATTTAAACAGATGTTTTTAGATGGCATATTAAAAAACAGCGTCCTCAGACTCTGAACGTAGCCCTCAGTCGATTAGATTAAGCGGTATAAACACGCCCAAGTGTCCGTTTACTTTAGTACGCTCATAACACGAAATTTAAACACTATCATTTCAGTCTGTTTATACTGATGTTCAGTCCCTTCTGTTGCGAGGTTAAGTGGTTCATATGAGGCGGGTGATATGGCGGCCAGTTTAGTCCTTGGTCATATTTTACTTTGAACTGCCTCATCACCAATGAAAAAATTGTCACGCATTTTTTCCTCACCCCGTGTAAATATCACAATATCTCAGTCTAAATGACAGCGCGCCATGAATATCCAGATTCTAGCTGAAGGTTGAAAAAGCATGATTACTCGGTATCTGCGTGCGCGTCACTTAGCAGGATTGATAAAGTCGCAGTGGACGCTCTGAAAAAGGTGCCGACGTGCCGTCCGTAAAGTTCCTGACTGGAACTATGTCGTGGTGATTCAAAATACAACTTGATTTCCAATCCATTAACTTGGCACTCTTCTAGGCTTCTTGAAACTGATGACCACTTTGCGGGCACATATTGCGTTGTTTAGGCTGTTGATGTTAAATTCTTGCCTGCCTCTCTCATTCCCATCCTCCGTTTGTATTTGCAAACTCTATTTTATTGCTGTCTGAAATGCGTACTTTCAAGAATCACTACAGCATTGAATGCGGTGAGTGACATGGGATTGCTCACGGGCTTTTGTTGAGGTTTTATCCATCCAAGAATACTTGAGGCACCCAAGCAGACAGGGGATGCAAAGTTTGCACATCTGCGACCAGCCATCATGAAGATGGCGATTGTTCGGAGAGCCTGTACTTTCAAAAACAAGAGCCAGCCAATCACTGGAGGCCACGTACGCTTTCTCTTGCGCGCTGTCAGCATGATCGTGGTGCTTCGCTATTGGCTGATCCCCTCGGGCATAATCGACCCGTGTATGCTGGAAATCTATCAGTCCGTCTATAATTATCTTCTCGAAGTGCATTGTGCTGAATTCAGGCGAATCCCAGTAGAGTATTATAAATACGCATTACTTGCCCGGTTCGACTTGACTTGCAGTTTCCTAATACACTTTTCCGTGGCCGATCGTGTTCTCCTTCTCTGCTGCGTTGTCATTGGGGACCGGAGTCGAGTGCGCGTATGCTTCACGTGATTTCAGGTATCAGGCCGATCCTTAACAATGTGACAGTTGATTGTGTGCCAGTCTGACGGCTGAAATCGTCCTCGTTTCTGGTCCTCATTATAGCCTTCCCGCTGTTGTCCAAGCATCCCGTTTACAATAGCCTATGATGCGCTATCTTCGACCCCTCAGTGAACGTGTTCCATAACTACTCTGAGAAAACGTGAGTGTCGTGTCCGGTGGATGAGAAACAGAACCACTTGTGTTATCTGGGGGCAATCGGGTGGTTTTTTCGGAGTAAAATGCTGAATAACTAGAACACATCCGGTGACCGGAGGGAGTTCTGTCACTGACTTCTGTCCGTGAAAAAAAAAATTGGAGCCTGAAAGAATGGCGCCAGAGGACTTTTTTCAGTAGGTAGAGATGTCGTTGCCTTGTCAACCGGGGGGTGGCAGTATCGGTAGAAGACGATGATGCGGCTGGGCGGTGGGAGCGTGTGTAATCTCTGCACTACAATCGTCAGGCCTAATTCTCAGTTGTACAAAAAAGATAAGAGTAGCTAGATTGAGAAGTTTAACGTATACAGATTCCGCGGTCGCGCTCTCAAGCGACAGTGCCCGCTTGCGAAGCAAGGACTGCTGTAAACAGCCTCCAGTCATGCTTGAGAGTCCCGAAAAAGTGGTGTCAGCTGCTTTTGTAGGCTCGTTGGCCAAGCTGAAGTGGTCCCAGTCAGTGTGTGTTACAGTGAGCGACCTATCTCATGAAATGCTGGCTGGAATTCTGAAATGCGTTTTCGATTAGGAAGGATTACTTGGTCGCGGTTGTAATATTGACTATCTTAAGGCATACTCTCATAACATGTCGAACTCGGCAGGGTGTCAGCTTTTAAATGCACGTCTTTTAAATCGCCTGTAGAAAGCGTGCTTGGTAAAAATGACCAATTAAGTAGCAAGCATTTTCCCATTGATTGTCAATCGTCTTGCAACTTTAAATATATTTTATAAAAACGATAAACTAAAATACACTTTCTTTTAGTCAATCAATAGAGAATCACGTCTTCTTTAAATTTTATACTTAAGAAAGTAGTATAGTTAGGTTTTTAAAAAGTTTTCTAATTGCCGAATAATTTTAAGCCTGATCATTGGTCGCATAAGCGCTTAGTGATTTCACTCTACAAGGCGTATGCGTTCCGCGTAAACCAATTACATATTTTTATATGCCATTGAAGAGATATCATACAGGGTCTTAAAAATTTTGCAGTGGATGCGGACCATGTTGTAAATTTCATGAGGAGCAGTGGTAAACGTCCAGGTACGATGCTATGTGGAAGGACATTTCGCGGTCATAAAAGGACTCATAATTAGAAACTTTTTTAAAACCTATTAATACTCCTTCCTTAAGTATAAAATATAAATAAGACGTGGTTCTCTATTGATTGACTAAAAGAAAGCATACTTTTGTTTATTGTTTATATAAAATATATTTTAATTTGCAAAACCATCGAAAATCAATGGGAAAATGCATGCTAGTCAAGTAGTCATTTTTGTACCAAGCACGCTTTCTACAGGAGATTTAAAAGAAGTACATTTAAAAGCCGACACCCTGCCAAGTCCGAAATGTTACAAAGGTATGCCATAAGACAATCAGTATTACAACCGCGACCAACTAATCCTTCCTAATCGAAAACGCATTTCAGAATTTCAGCTAACATTTCATGAGATCGGTCATTCACTGTACATTTGCCGAGGGGTGGTTTCCTAGTGGTTTAGGTTGTGGTTGCAGGGCGGGGGGTGAGGTGCGGTTAAGTGGCCGCATGGGCAGTTCCAACTCTGTTTGGACGCAGGTATGTCCGAGCTGAGGTCGGTCGAGTAGCTTCAAGTCAGCGCCTCCATAGCGGTTCGCTGCTAGGGGCGAATGACCTTGAGGCAGACGAACGATGACCAATGGCGCTAGAGTAGTCATGATGGCTGGTCACAACAACAAAGAAGCTGTTCTAGGAGAAATAATTTACCGAGTGATACGCCGCAGCAAAGATAGGAATAAATGCTGATAATAGCATAGGGCTACAGTAGGTGGGCTAACTCATGAAATGTCAACCGAAAATCCGAAGTTAGTGTTCGTTTTGAAAAGAGCAATTAAGTAGGGTTGTAAAATTTATCACTATACAGTATAAATATATAATAGGCCAGTTAACTCAGGATGTCAGCTTTCAAAAGAAACTTCCAACCAACTAAATCCGAAAATTATACTATGTAAAAAACGACTACTTAAGTAGCATGCGCTTTTTTATGATTTTCGATGCCCATAAGACTCCAAATATAGTTCATGGAAAACATGCATAAAAACATTCATTTTCCCGCTCATTCGGTAGAAAACTACATCTTCTTGCAATCTGATGTTCGAAAGAAGGGTATTATTCGGTGTTCAAATAGTTTTGCAATTCCCGAAAAAATTTTAACCCGATCTGCCGTCAAACTTGCACTCGGGTTATTCAAACCACAAGTTATGTATTTCCGCGTAAGGAAAACCACACATTTCTCTACAGTATTAAAAGACCATATAGGGTTCATAGGATTTTGCATTGGATTGTATGCATAGTTTTAACTGTACAAGCCGCATTGGTAAATGCAAAAACATGACGTCTTATGAACTGCCATTTTACGGTATTAAAAAGTTCCACAATTAGACACTTTTTAAAACCGAATTATGTCCTTTCTTTGAGTATAAAATTGAAAGAAAACGTTATTTTCCATCGCATGAGCAAAATAATGAATATTTGTATGTATGTTTCTCATGACATATAATTGAATACTTAAGGACATCGAAAATCAATGAGAAAAATACATGCTATCTAAGTAGTCATTTTTTAAAGAGTATAGTCATTGTAAGCAGACGGATGGGAGACCGTTCGAAAGCCGGCATCTTGAAGAAACTAAATTATTATAGAATTATACTACAGACTGACTAGTTTTACAACCCTACTTAATTAATCTTTCTGAACGAAAACGCATTTCGGAATTTCGGTGGACATTTCATGAGTTACACCACCTATTGTACATTCCTTCTAATGACGAGAGCGCGGCAATGTCTAATATAAAAAAGTAGTAGTTTTTAACACTGTGTATTTTTTTTCCATGCGGCCGAAAGGAAGTTCATTTGAAAGGCGGCCTCCAGCCGTAACTAAAGTATTATAGAACTATGCTGCAGACTGACTAGTTTTACAACTCTACTCAATATTTTCGAAACGAAAACGCATTTCAGAATTTAAGTTGGCACTTCATGATTAAGAATGGCATTACCGACAGAGACAAGGGAGACTGGAATGGCCATTTCTGGCTTATTAGCCGTCGTCAGCCGGTCATACCCAACCCCGAAGTGTGGCATACCCGAGACTCGAACTCTCACGGATCGAGCGCCCCTATCACTTCACGAGTAAGCCCACCTACTGTAAGTTGAGTCCATACGCAAATGATTACACATCATGTTTGGCGAGCGTTTCAGTGCACAATCCCTAAGCGGGTGCTGTTATGAATGAACAACCGACAAAGACATGTGAGACTGGACCGGACTTTCTAGACTGTGGTGTTTCATCAGCCATTTAGGCGAACACGTCCGATAGAGACAATTCGAACAATTGCGATTTTTATTATTCTAAATGATTTCGGCAACAGTCAACCAGCATGGTTCTTAGGCCACCAACGATAGTAATAAAACCCCTATATTTTCTCTTTGGGGTAAACTGCTTTTTACCTCATTTACATATCCGCGAGCGAATATTTTTTGTAATAGTATACATACTAACAAAGACGGACAAATGATCACAGTTTCCAAATAAGGCTTGAAGCATTTACATACAATTAATGATTGTAAGAATACGAACGAGCATGCAGTTAAAACTCTTTTGAATGCATCATTGTGGGTCCATACACTCCCAGGATGAAGGGGTGAAGAAGAAAAGTCGAGAACCGTAGCACTGTGTTTATTGTCCTGAGCTTTCAGACTCGTACAGGAGTCCATCGTCAGAGGTAGCAGCAGCTGCAGCAGAGCAAGCGACAATTATAAGGCATGCAGGCTTATCGTCGACCGACGGCGCAAGACTGGAGGTGACTACGCAGGGCTCTGTACGTCGCCACCAGATCGATAAATCGATTGACCGAGTTCTCATCGGAGACCCAGGTTTCAATCAATTTTCCGCCTCTTTTGTTTCCGGCGTGGGCGACTATTTCGGGGGCTGCGAAGTTAAACTCGGGACCCATTTCGTAGGTGTGAGCGACCACTTGGGATAATGCGTCACCTCTTCGTACACAGAGCTTATGTTTGTATGTGCGCGATCCGAGCATGCGTCCAGTCTGTCCTATGTAGTTACAAAGACAATTTTGATACGGAACGCGATACACTTCTCCAGATTGCTCATCAGGTTGAAACCGGTCTTTGATCTTCATGACCCTATTGCGCATGGTGGCTTTGGGGCGGTGTGCAATTCCAACACCTAGCTCCGCAGCAATGCGCTCAGTCGCTTCTGAAACGATCTTGATGTATGGCAGAGAATGTCATATCGTCGGTGGCGTTGATGTTCGAGTTCTCTGGTGGCGACCGCGTAGGCAGCGACTTATGAATGCCCACGAATAGCCATTTTGCACAAACTAATCGCGGAGATAACGGGCCTCACGTGCCATGTCCTCCGGCTTGCTGCAATGAGTTTGGATCCGTTTGAAGAGCGTCTTCACATAGCTTCGTTTGTGTGTCACCTGATGGTTTCTCTGAAATCTGAAAAGCTGTTTGGTGTTCTCTGCCTTCCTATAAGCCGTCTTTTCAATTTCACCGTTAAGGCTTCGTCTGACAGGCACATCCAGGAAGGGCAACTGCTGTTCCTGTTCTTCTTCTCTTGTGAATTTTATATCAGGAAAGACTGCGCTGAACAGGCTGTGGAAATGTTGCAGCATGTCCTTCTTTACGATGACGAAAGTGTCGTTATTGTAACGGCGCCAAAACACCGGTTCATGTTGGAGGAAGGTAATGTGTTCTAAATTCTGTAGGACCAGTTCTGCCACCAAACCGGAGACCGGTGAGCCCATTGGGGTTTCCTTGATTTTTTCATAGGTCTCTCCCCCAAAAGCGAAGAAAGTTTGTTGGCAGAACTCGAACAGCCTCATGAGGTGTTCAATTATGAGGGCATTCTGAGTCGCATCGTACGCCTCTTCAAGTCTCTTGCGCAAGACTTCGCGGACCACGTTTGGTGGGATGGACGTGAATAACGACGTCAAATCAAAAGAGACCATGATTTCGTCCGATTGAATTCTCCGACCTCGGAGGTCTATGAGGAACTGAGAGGCTGATCGAACTGAAGTAGTCGAATTGCCTTGGAGGAACTTTTAGCTTTCAGTACATCCATTTTGCCAAATTTTAGGTGGGGTTGCCTTTTTGGGCAACGATTTTCCAAGGTGGGACATTGGCTTTATGGATTTTTGGCAGACCATAGAATCGGGTTAGAGCGGTGCCAGTTGCCCTCATTTGGTGCCATTAATTTTCCGTGATCACATTTTTATGTCGGTATTCTCTAAGCAGTTTACTCAGCCGATCTGCCACTGCTTTGGCTTGTGACTTCTGTGCTGGTATGTAAAATCCTCTGTCATCAAGAAGGGCTTTAGCTTTTTCATTATAGTCTTCTCTATTCATCACGACGGTTGGTCGTCCCTTGTCAGCAGGTAGAATGAAAATGCTGTCGTCCCTGCTCAGTTTCCTCATAGCCTTTGACTCACTCTGCGAAATACATTTGGTTGGTCTGTGTGTCATCAGCAAGGAGGTAACACGCTGTCGGACGGAGTGTTTAATGTCGTCGGGTGTTTCACCTCTTACAAGCATAGCTTCCGGGGATGCAATGAAGTCGATAGGATCGGCGTCTGCAGTGTTACAGCAAGTTTTGTGTTTCAACAGTGGTAGTTACTACTCTGTTAGCTGCTTAGATGAGAGGTTGTGGACCAAGTTTGAGCTTTCTGTGCCTAGTGGTTTTAGCTTAGTCAATTTCCGTTCCAAAACTTATCTCTTTTTGGCTTGCCTGTGGTGTGCCAGAGTGGAGATCATCTTCCCATGATCTGCGGCGATAGGATCGCCGAGAGTGTGGACACCGGCGACAGTCGTCGATCAGAACTCTCGTCATCTGTTTGACAAACCGCCTCACAATGTCTCTTCCCATGGCCGTATTAACGGGAGCTTTATATCTCAGGCATCGGAGGTTAGTTCGTTTTGAAGACATCGGTGCAGAAAACGTAAATTTTGGCATGTTGCGGCCTCTCGTGTAGAGAATAACTCCCAGCTGTGAGCTGTCCGAAGCGCATCGCGCCCGACGTTTTCACGAATGAAGGCGACATTTCGAGTTCCAGGCGTATGCATAAGTGAAGAAGAAGTGTCGAGAACCGGAACACGGTGTTTATTGTCCTGAGCTTTCAGACCGTACAGGAGTCCATCGTCAGAGTCGTAAGACTGGAGGTGCTACACAGGGCTCTGTACGTTGCCACCAGATCGATAAATCTATTGACCAAGTTCTGATCCGAGACCCAAGTTTTAATCAGTCCTCCGCCTGTTTTGTTTCCGGCGTGGGGGGCTTTTTTGGTGGCTTTTGTCGCAGTAAACCGTAGGTTTTTTGGGATGTTAGATGCCTACCGGAAATCAGCAAGGAAGAAGAATATAATTTATTTGTTAAATTTTAAGTGATTCACACTTTGGATTGGGTATGACTGGCTGATGACGGCTAATAAGCCATAAATGACCATTCCGGCCTCCCTTGTCTTTGTCGGCTCCATCGCAGTTAAACCTTGAAGCATTTTGACATAGATGCTCACTTGAGCCAACTTTGGGATGATTATTACTCAGATAAATTGCTGTACTAGGATGGATTTCATGTGTTTTAGTGAGTGTAGTCTTGCCACGACGATTGCGGAGAGTAAAATGTTGTGATGTTACGAATAGTAAATTTTATAAGTCGTGAACTCCGTATTTTGAAAGCATTAGTGCATATTGCCGGCTACGTAATAAGGCAACTTCCAATTCAGTGTAAAAAGGGCATATTTATTGAAATGCATTTTAGCTGTTAATATATATATATATTGAGGATGCCACTCTGTTGAAGCTGTCACAAAGGTATTATTTACGCACTGACTGCACCATTTAATATTTTTTCCCATAATTTCACTCGAAGCACATTGTGAAAAACTAAGATTGCCCGCTGATAGACTACCATGCTATAAATCCAAGCCTGGAAGATTGAAAATATAAACCACTAGCTCAAATTAAATCACAGCCTTTTCACTTCGTTTAATCAAATGCCCTGAACTCTTGTGCGCATGCACTTTTTATCTATACAAGCCGCTTATATGACGCATCAGCCAATCTATTCTGATTACAGGACAGGAATAGCTATTTCCTATTCGCCTTGTATCTGGCATTATCGGAAAGCGGCCGGCAAAATTAACTGTCACTCTCTCTCTTACACTTAAGATAGATTGATGAAAGCCACCTCTTGGCCAACTGTTTTGGGAAATACATAATCTGATAATCGATGCGTTCAACGTTTTCAGAAGGCAAAATAATAACGAAGCGTTTAAGATAGCTTGCCAATTAAACGAGTGAATTAGACAGAAAATAACATCTCACATTGTTTAAATCGAACTCAAAAGAAAAAAAGGACTACTAAAGTCTTTACTCTGGGGTTTTAGAACCAGCGAGATCCCTCTGAACCACCCCGCCGCAGGCATTCAGCAGACCCGGATACCGGGGTAAGTGGAGAGGAGGATGAGGAGGAGGCGGAGGCGGTGGCGGATGCAAAGATTTCCCTGCTAACCAGTCTTGCGCAAATTTCACTCCGCTCCTCACCACCGCCACCGCCCGCGCCAACTCTGCCTAGGGCCCTGCTGCCAGTGAAACCGCAGTCGGAAAGACTCCTTTCAACTGCCAGGGAACATTTGGCCGACGTCAAGTCGGGCGGTGATTCGACGACAGACCGATGTCAGCATCCGGCCACGCAGGACGACCAGTCCGCCGTCTACCATAAATTGCCGTCTGTCAAATGGAACTACATTGTGGCCGATGCAGCCACTACGGATCGTCTGGGAAAGGCCTACCGCCCCATTGAGAGACGAGGTGAAAGCGAGGGCGAAGAGGAGGTGGCGGTGAAGAAAGAGGAGGAGGGCAGGGCGAGACCAGAGGACGTGGAGCAGGAGCCGTGCCACGTTGGCTACAACGGCGATGAGGTAACTGAGCAGTCGGCACAGACGACGCGTGCAGTGGAAGTACACACAGCGGCCGAGCGGCCCTCCTTGCAGAAGCGTGTTTTATTTTCCAGTCAAGAGGAGATATGTGCAGAACCGTCCTACGAGAATGCAGACCGCAGTGTTAGCAGCGCGAAGGTAACTGCTCAGTCCTCTATGAAGATCAAACCCGCAATCAAAAAGTTCCCCAGGACGGAAAGGCATCAGAACAGCGCTGGTTGTAAAACCGCTTTTGACGGAGAGGACGCAAGTAAACGATGCGGGTGAATACATAAGTTTTTTTGTTGGTTTTAAAAATTTACGTTTTTCTTCTACACTATGCTCAAGTAAACCGTTTAAAAGTAGCTCATACGGGTAGTTGGAAAGATACTTCGCAAAACCGAACTCCAGTTGCATAACCAAGACAACGTGCGATAAATAACACCCGGATTCTAAATTTCTAATCAAACTCGCGCGCAACCTACTAGTAAATGACAGATTATTAGGACATTTTCCTTCTTCATTAAGCAGCTTACATCTGACTATTTTGCTTGCCAATAAATGACTTTCTGATTGCAGTTGTTAAGCAACATAGCGCTCGACGCTCGGCCGTAAACATCCTTCAACATACTCAAGATGGCATTTCGGCATTCTATAAGTCTCTGTTTAAAGGCCGTAATAAAAATTAGCCGATCAAGTTAAAATAATTGACGAAATAAAGATTGCTAATACGGAACTGCCCAATACGATTAAACGCAAAACGAACACAGACTGTTTTTTTAGCGGTTGGGCACAAGGTCAAGACAGCTTTAAATTTGCCTTTTTGGACTTGACCGTGTTTGACCTTGCAAGCTATAAAATTAAGCTTGCGGTTACCCTTTAAATAAAAAGCAAAAACAACGCCTGAAATTAGTGCTAAAGAACCGCTAATGAATAAAGCGCTGTGAATTGGATGTTCATACATCTATTTAAGTCGCGATCGCGCAGTCAGGCCAGGGTGTTGGCTTTTGACAGAGCTTCATTTTGGCTGCTTGCAAAGCTGCATTAGGCACAAAATCACCATTTAAGTGGTATCGTGCTGATCTTCCGTGCCAGCATAAATTCAAATATATCATATAAAGACAAATGCATAAAGTGTTCTTTTTTATCCACAATTGGTGGCAAATTGGTTCTTTTAAAGACTTTCAACTTGAAAGTGAAAATATGTCTTAGATTTTAAAAAGTTTGTAATAACGAATGTTTTTAAGACCACGACATATCTGTTCAAGCAGCATCGCATCAGACGTTTTTAACTCCCTTAGGAGGCATGTAACTTCGTCCAAATCTAATACACAACTTTAGGAGTCCTGCATGACGTTCTTTTAACGGAATGGAGATGCAGCGAATGTGCTTACTCATTGCATCATCCACTGAAAAATAATTTTTAAGTAGGGTTGTAATATTACTCACCGTGCAGCACAATCTTACGATAACTAAATAACTTCAAAATACCGGCTTCTGAACGAACTTACTTCTGGGACTATGCACAAACTACACTCTGTTTGTAATGACTACTTATGTAACACAGTTTTTACTGATTTGTGAGGCCCTTATAAATTTGGGTATATTTCATAAAAATGCGTAAACATATTTAATATTTTAAAACTAAATATGACGCCTTACGGAAAGACATATATCAGTTTTAAAAGACGTTTCCAACTCCTTAATAATTTTGAACCCTAGCTGACGTTCGACTTGCATTCGGGGCTTACGATCTACAAACCATGTGTTTCCCTTGTACGCGAAATAAAATTTCAGTGGAGTTTAAAACGTAAACAATGGATTTGGGTCGTAGTTTGGACACCGCAAGTAACATTTGTAAATGTAGAGACGCGTTGTTTTACGGATGTGTACCTCCCGACTCTAGAAGTGTCATAATTAGATAATCCTTATACCAAAATATACCCTTTTTTAAGTATAAAATTTTAGAAACGCGTGTTTTGTTGCCAAATGAGTGGGATAATGAATATTTTAGACATGTTTGCAATGAAAGATATTTTAATTTATAAGAGCATCGGAAATCAATGTGAAAATTCCTGCTGCTTGTGAAGTTATTTTTAGTGAGCTTAGTTCTTTGCAGGCGGCCGGAAGAAGTCTTCATAAGTTGGCATTCTGTAGTAACCGATCATATATGAAGTTATGGTACACGATAAATAATGTTTTTAAAGTAATCCTTTCGGGTTGAGAGCGCAGTTTGGACTTTTGGTTAACAGTAAATGAGTTAGCGCACCTATTGCATATGCTGTAGTGTTTTGACGGAATGAACGCAACCTGTAAACTGGAAATCCCGTATTAAGGATGGGCAGGTGGAAAAAAGAGTAAATTTAAAAAATAAGTGTTTTGGCAAAAAAACGATACTCCCTCTTCAGGTGATAAATGTTAAGAAGACTTAATTTGTTATCAGCAAAGGGCAAGAAAAAGTCTTTTTCTGCGTGTGTTCTGTATAATATATTTTAATATATAAGGGCACAAAAAGAAGCCGTTTTCTGCAAGGTTTAGGTTTTGTGGACGGTCAAAAAGGAGCCCATCTGAGAACTGGCATGCTGGCGTGACTGAAATATTTTAGGATAATTAGTATTACAACCGTACTTAAGAAACCTTATCAAATCGAAAACATATTTAAAAAATTCGGCTAGGATTTCATCAATTGGTGCGCCTGCTCAACCGAACGGACCAACAATTACGCCTTAACAAGAAAATATTTAGATAAGATTGCTAGTTAGGGAATTTTATCATCGTCAGCAGATCAAAGTGTCAGGTTAAGATTTGTTGCATGTTTATCTTTGGGAGAATACAGAACAGAAATTAGATGTCAAACGATGTAGAAACTACATTACAGCCAAAGCGAAATAAAGGTAATTCCTTTCTAAATTATTTATTCCTGAACAAGGGTAGCTAGCAAATAATTAAATAAAAAGTGTGCACGCTTAGCACATATGTTCGTCCTGTTGTGCTTTGGGGCTTTATCTTAAGGCACGCAGGGAGTAATACAGCAACCAGTAATATAGAGGATTACCAAGAAAAAAAGAATTGGAAGAAAAAAGGGCTTTTTGGAAACATAATTGCATTGTCCGGACGTTTCACGTTAAACAAGGCTCTAGAGGAGATTTGAGTGACATGACTTGACTTTCCGTGTATCTAGTCAGAGTGGAATTACTGACAAGGATAAGGGAGACGAAAAAGGCCATTCTTGGCTTGTTAGCCGTTGGCAGTCAGTCACGTTCTAGCCCGAAATCCGGAAAACCTGTGGCTCGATACGTCGACCTGTTGGTTAAACCTCCAACGCCCCTAAACATTGGGACAGGGGATCGTTGCCCTGTCGGTTGCGATCGGGAACATACAAAGGAGGAGGGGTGCTCACCGACTGTTTTTACGGAACTCACCCGTCCTGTTGTGCCTTAAGACTCTCAAGCCCAACCAGCAGCCATGGAGGGGCGCGTAATAAAGACAACGAAGAATAAAATGGCCATTGCTGGCTTGTTAGCCGGTCATTTTAACGATGCGTTGGTCGGAAGGGCAAGGAGAAAGTCAGTTCGGCCTTTGAGTAAAGGGGACTTTATACATAGCGCTGAAATAACTGCATTATAGGCTCATGCACCGTTGCTTGACCTTTTTAATTAAACTGTTACTGCAAAGAAATAAGCATCCGTTAAAACGATTTGCCGCCATAATTGTTTTTTCACATATGCTGTATTGGAATTTGGCAAACATGATTTCTTCGTTTGTTATGAGGCACTTGCAAAACTATTCGCTATGTTAACATATTCTACTTTCCAAACCATTTTTCCTTTTAAAACAACGTTTTATATTTGCACCTTCTTGTATTTGTGTTATGCAGAGCACAACGGTCTGTCGCCTGGGTCGACGAAGTAATTAGCCAAGCCTGTCAGTTTAACGGCATTTAGCAACAACGTAAGTAAGAAAAAATGTTGAAAGTAAAAAATGTCAGATGCGACTTATTTTATTTTGCTGTTTTCGGAGTAGGCCAAGTCCACTTCGGATTTCGCTGTTTAGAGGAAATTATTTTATTAAAGAATATGTATTTTTTTGATAATCGTACAATTAAATATAATTCGGACTCAAACGTGACCGTTGCCCTACTAAATGAGCCTGAAAAAGGAAGATTGCATGTCGAAGAACACTGTTTTTAGCGAAATGAAAAATTGCATTACATCAAATACGACGTCAAAATTCCGTACGTACATTGTGGGAGTCCTACAACTAAAAAACACAGGTATTTACTTGCCGCAAAGTGCGGTAATTACGTTCTCTACACACAATAGTGTTATTGTTGCAACTGTTGATCGACGATTCTTTGTTCGCAGAATTATGATGTAATTTATGGTCTCCGGAATTTTCAGCCACTTGAAATGTCATTCACTGCCACGACTGCATTGAATCAGAAAATCTGACTACTGGAATTGACCTAATCACCGGTTATTGAGCGATCCGGGTTTTTACGCGTTAGTTCGAACTGCCGATATTCATATCGGTGGGCGCAAATTAGCGTCCAGACGGCCATTTAGAAATCAATGCCTTATGTTTAAATTACTTCGGACACTTAAACAGTAAACACAATTGTCTGTATGCTTACACTATGCAAGTGAAAAGTTCATTCAAGTTTTATTTTCCTACCCATGAATCGCAATGTGTTTGTATACTGTTTGTATACTTTTAAGCATTTCTCGAATGCACATTTATTTTTATACCAGATCAATATAACTGCTGTCGGCGAATTCGCGACCGGTATTTAGGGGTAAAGCAGGCTTTTTTAAACGTCCAAATGAACAATAAGATGCCCATATTTTACACAAAGAATCCTTCGGTTGTTTTACTATGCTTAAGTAGCGGCCGTGCAGATGATATTTTTGGTAAAGTTATATATGTCCCGTCCCATTAAGCCCGTAATTTTTTATGCTGGTCACACAGTTCCAAACACTTTAATGACAAATAAGCTTCATATATTATACCAAAAGAAGTGATGTCAGTGGAAGGCAATTGTCCAATAAAGGTTAGCATGGTAAGATAAGAAAACTAGAGTACACCACACTCCTTTCCAATAATATCATGTTTTTACTCTTTTAATAGGGGATGGACACTGTGGACACTGCTTAACGTCCGAAACATCTAAAGATTCAAAATGTTACTGATTTATATTTAAAATATATTTTTGCATCATGAATTGTCTTCTGCTTGTAAAAAGTAAAATAACTTAGTAAACACAAAGATCATTTAAAATATGAGACAGT